TGTTTTTACTTTATGAAACTGAAAAACTAAAGTTGTTTGTGAAGAAAATCAGGACAGTATGAATATTTTGTAAAGGCCCTCTTTTTATAACTTTGACAAGACAGTTTGATGTGCAATTGCATCAGTAAAGTTCAATATTCTTTGTACTTAATGAGAAATAATTGATTTCCTAAACGTTCATTATCATGTAATAATTTATAAGAGTTTGGTTATTTAATTTCATACCAATGCATGATAGATTTACTAACCATAAACACTTCATCATCCCCAAGATCTGTTTCATAAATACGAGATGGTTCACCAGTCCCTGAAGAAGAAGTAAACAAGTGATTGTAACTTTTCTAAACATGAAAAGTATCTTAAATAAAAAATTTCTCTAACTTAGAAATATGTCCCTTATTTTATAAACTTTATTGTACAGTTCTACGTTAGAAACTAAACAAAAATGGTAATTTAAATTCTATATCCAACAACCAATTCTGATTACTGTTCTAAATGTACATACATCAGGAATAATTTCCATTATTCAATGAATTAAACAGAAAGAGAGCATTTAATTATCTTTCAATTGATCTACTACAGAACCTACACTAACTGGAAACATTAATTTTTGGAATTAAAATCTAGTATTGACCATATTTTACTTACTTTTTGTTGTGTATGTATATAAAGATTTGGATACATTTCATTAAAGAAAGAGTGCTGAATATTTGATCCAATTACCCTTTCTTTCTTTGCTTAAATATAGACTAAAAGTCTCTATTAGTCACGAAGCCAGGCCCCCCAAAAATTAAAAAAAAAAAAGTGCCCAGAGAGATATACTTTGATATCATACATTTTTTTGAAAGGTTGGTATGTATAGTTTAAAAAAACCAATGTTACCAGAAGAAATTCTCTTGAAAGTTATAGCTCGAAATGTAGCACTACCCAATGTACCCCACAAAGTGGGATTTTTGGCAAGACAAAACAATGAACAATAAAAACATCTGAGGATATCATACAGTTTTATGGGTCTTTTTGAATATATTGCATCGTCATACATACTGACACTCAGTATGCTGTTTCAACATGTACAATCAATATACTGAACACTTTTTTTACAAAATATGTAAATGTAATGAAAGAAAAAATGTAGGCATTAAATGGGTCAACACATTTACCTTATAAGCAAAATTTTTAAACAATACAAACAACTAAAAATATACTGTTTCATCTGACAAATTATGAAAGGGCATAATCATGCACACACCCACCCACCCAGACCCACATACGATTCCTAGTCATTATCCTCCTCTGACGAAGATTCATTGCTTGGAATTTGACCACATTTTTCTGTTGATCCTAGATATGCATAATCAATCACACATGGAATAGATGCTCTAGAACATGTACAGTTTCAAAGACATCTGCTCACTTTACATTTGCAGTAATGTGGCTGAGCACAAAATGGTTTGGCTGGTTTTGTCATCATGGTGGGAGATGAGGGTTACACAGATAGGCACGTTTGAAAAGGATCAGTTGATACAAAGATTGAAGCTGATGTTGCCTGAGGAGGTTCAGATCGTGGAATCCATTGCCCCCATAAAGGGATGTTGTGAATCTTCTTACTTCATCTAATATGACATCAGTTACAAGAAGTGGTGTGTTGGGTTGACCAAAATTGTTTAAGAAGGGAATCCGATACCTCTGTGAGTAGATCAGTAAATGCTGATTCAAATGGATCTGGTAACCTTGCTGGTGTCACAACAGAAGATGGTTTCTTATTCATGAAGCGAGTCATATATGAGAGATGGTATCGGAAGTCTTCGGCAACCATGTTAATTTTCTCATCTTCATATCCTTGTATTTTAGTAAGAATCATTTTATTATTTAAGTCTTTGGCATTTTCAGAATAGACTGTTGTTGAACATCTGTAACCACACGTATAAAATGTTTGTCACCTTTGCTGTTCCTCTCCTTATCACACAGAAACCAACATGTTTTGGAGTCTATATTTGTTGATACACATGAACTTGTTGCAACACCATCAACAGCAAAGGTTCCTTCTGCTGAGTAATCTGTTTTCGATTCTCTGCTTCTTTTGTTATGAGTTGTTTCCTCAATCTTGTTCTTGTCTGCATATGTGCTCTTATATCTTCTATGATACTCGGTACTTGCAAGAGAAAGTCATGTTTGTTGTCAAGATAGGGCTAGAGTCTTTCATATACATGGTTAGCATGACTCAGCAAAGCTTTCTTGAATGTGTCAATACCCCATTGTGTTAGTTCTGCAAGTGGATCAAAAGATAGGGGTCTGGCATGTAACACATAAGTCAAAGTTCACTACACCTGCCCTTCAATTATGTGTTCCTTTAAAAAGAAACTCCATTACTAGCTTGTTAGCATAGAATCATCTACATATACAGCTAGATAAATATTGAGATAAATTATTTTTATGCTGCCTTAGCACAATACCGACATACAAGTGCTTATTTAAAGGTTACTTACAACAGTTTTGTGCTGGAGCAGCAGTCACGTAGACATAGAGACATGAATATATACTGAAGAACGTAGGTAAGAATTCTAGATATATATAGGTATTCCGACAGATGAAAAAATACACCAAGCCAAGAAGCACATGACCAACAATTCTCACTTCTGCTAAATAATGTGTTGAGGAAAGTGTTAGAGAGCTGCTGATTGATAACAGATAATTCTAAATAATTCTGGAAACAATTGTACAATACATATACATGAAAATCTTTTTTACAACTTATACTGTTTAGTGTTTGTTTTATTGGCCATAATTCCAAAATTTCTAGAGAAACAATACTAAACATGGTATCCATACCTTCAAAATACTGTCATGTATTAAAATGCATTTGATTTTCATAAAATACATTTTCCATAATACTTCCAAAGATGTGTAATATTGGCATGTTTTCAAGATTAAACAAATCCAGCCATAGTATATTAAGGCAATTGGATTTTCACTGGTAACCTTGCTTTTCATAATCCCCAATAACAGTACTAATGACATTTTATGTTGAAAAAAGTATATCTTTCAATGACATGTCAACCCTTTTTTTTTTGCACAATAGCTCCATTTGGCCCCTGACTATATTTGAAGAATGATTCCACTTTAATAGAGCAGCATGTTTCAAAGGTAGTTTTGAAAACTGTTTATAAATAGGTTTTAAGGACAGGATAAATACTGTGTCTTGTTTATAGTAAGTTGAAGGAAAAATGTTTTAGCTAATATTTCTTTATTTAGTAAAGTTAACTTTAACTACATAATAAAATTTAATTTTTATTTGTACTTTTACATACAGTATTGTATATACTACTGGCCAGAGGTGTCTAACAAGAATCAACTGATAGATATATTGACTGTTTGGTCACACATATAAACATTGAAAAGTACTGGTTTCTTCTTCAGGGATTACATGTGGTTTATGTACTCTTTAATTTTATTCGTTTTATCAACTATCATGCTCATGTACACATGTGATCAACATTCTATTAATTAAAACATTAATTTGACAAATCAAGTAAAAGCAAGGTTTGTTCTTTAATAACAATTGCAAAAGTTTTTTTACAACATTTTACTATCCAGTTGTTTTGTTGCACCAAAACTTCTGTTTTAATCATGGAGCACTAGTTAAGTATTGTGTTAAAAATGTTGTTATAATACCTATAATCAGCCATTTACAAGCTTGATAAATAAATATATATATTTCATCACAAGGTTGAAAGAAATCGCACCAGCAGATGTCGCCACTTGATTAATACTCACCCTGTTCTAGTTTGTCGAATCTGTGAATGGTGGATAATATTTCGTTCTAAGCCGCTAGGACAAGGAAACGCGACCTACTTACACGAAGCAATCAATGAAACACTCGAGAAAATGTCGCACTGCTGCAGTTCTTCAATGAATGTAAACATCATACACACGCGCGCGGGTTTTAGGGCAAAATTTGAACTGTGCAACTACAGTTAGACAGTCAAATTACCCAGAAGTCACTTCAAAATTACCAAAAATTCAAAATGGTTTTAGAAAATTCAGACAGACAACAGATCACTTAGTTAGACTAACAGAAACAATAATAGATAGCTTTAATAAAAATGAATGCACTGTCGCCTGCTTTCTCGATGTCGAGAAAGCCTTCGACACTGTATGGCACAATGGCCTCAGGTTCCATATAACGGAATTAGAACTACCGCGGGTGATTATTCGCTGGCTATCTAACTTCTTGGAAAACAGAACATGCAAAATAAATGTAAGGGGAACCTACTCTAAGGCATTCACCCCAGAGGCAGGTGTACCCCAAAGAAGGGTAGTTAGCCCTATTCTATTCATTATGTATGTGAGTAATATGCCTCTAAAAGACCCAAATCTAGGTTTCGCATCACAATTCGCGGACGATGTTGTGGTCTGGAAAAGTGCCCCCACCCCATCCATAGCAGCAACAAATTTAAAAACATTATTAAATAACATAGAAGAATACTGTCAAAAATATTGAATAAAAATAAATGTCCCAAAAACCAATTACTAGCTTTCACAAGATTAACAAAACAAAAAAAGACCCACCTAAACTACACATGAATGGAACGCTTCTTCAGACCACAACCTCGGGTAAATTTTTAGGATTAACTTTAGACCCAAAATTGACGTGGGTAAAACATACAAATAATATATTAACAAAAATCTGGAAACGTACAAATTATGCAAGAAGTCTAACAGGCAAAAACCAGGGAACATCACCTGATAACATTATTAAAACATACAAAACATGTATACGTCCCGTAATAGAATACGCCTGCCCTACATGGATAAACATAGCACCCAAACATATAAATAAGATACAATCTATACAAAACTCACTTATCACCACAGCATATAAAGTCCCCCCCCCCGCAGTACCTCATTAAAATTCATGCACAGATATGCAAAGATAGAAACAATAGCCGATAGACTCTTGCATAATACTATAAATTACTTTGCAAAAAATTGGCAAAAGAATGACCTACACTGCGAACTTGATCGCTACTACATACATGATCGAAGTAGACCTAAGTATCTCTCACCTGTAAACATATACTTTAGAAATAAACATGTAATAACGCCACCTATTACTAGACCTTAAAACCCTACACTGGTTAGAATCTAAGAACGATACATTTAATAGGGTATCTTATGTAAAATGCATTCTATTAGCCTCTAACTAGTGAAATGTGTTGTATGCATTATGAAACTGACTCTAGAGAAATAGTGCAAAACACAGAATGCAACTGTCCATACCTACATAAACATTGCCCTCAATGGGGTCGGAGCAAGTGCGGTTTACTCCGACCCTCATGTCGTATCACCACCAACACTCACTGGTAGTAAATCACTGTCCGGAAAGGAGGAAGAGGTCACCGTGAACCTGACCCTCCCTGGTCCATCACGCGACCAAAATACCGATATTAGAAAGAAGCAGTACAAATGTTGTAATATGAAATGGCTGCTTCACTTAATACATGTCCGTAATGACACGGAGAGATCAACATTTAAAAACAACAGCAATAGTAAAGTGGAGACATTAAGAATGGAGGAAACATGCCTATGTATTCCGTATATATTTCTAACAAATAAAATAACCTCCAATAGCAAAACATAAAGCTTGAAATCTGAACACAGTAAGCTTTGCTTACTTCATACACACACATACACACAGTTTTTCATTTCATATTTAAATACACTATCAGACGTTGTTACAACTGTAACTAAGTTATGATTCTACGCTTATGTTATTGTTTTTAAATCACAATGTTACTGTTCTTTCCCACAATTACACGAAGACAACAACAAGCCAAAATATTTTTTCCCTGTTCCACACAGTTTAACCATAACACATAATCAAAGCCACTTTGAAACACATCTAGGCCAACAGTAATCGTTATGTAAGGGAAGTAAAATAATTTCGAAACATAAATAGCAAAATTTTGATGAAATTAGATAGAACCTGAATCAAACAGGCTTAAAATGCTATAGTTAAGGGCAAAGAAAGGCTTCATATGAACATCTGGACACTTCATCAATGTACAACCACAGAAATAGCAAAGACTCACGAGAATGTGCTTTTAAAACTATGATGAAACATCACTGAAACAATAGAGAGACTGTATAACTGTTTCACTTATATTGTAATACAGTCTATCATTCTCCTGGTAATGTTAACGTCATTCTTTACTGACCTAATACAGACTTCCAAGAACCATGATGCACACTAACATTTCTTCTGTCTTCCACTACACTTTACTATATTCACCACGGGTATCGAAACCCGGTTTTTAGTGGTATAAGGCTTACTGTTGAGCCACTCGGCTGAGTTATAATATACACTATTAAAAAGGTTTAAGTGACTGGCAGTGATTAAAGTAGGGTTAATGCGCTGGTATGCATATTGGTAAGGAAAATATGGCGGTATGCTAAACCGTCGCAAATTTCATCTCATATCAAACACCTCCCCCCCTCAAGTTCGTATATACCGGCACCTCTTCCATTCCACTTTAACGCAGTTGACAAGACTCATTCATGGCGAAGCATGATTTCTTAATGGGTTAAGCGTATTAAGTCCCAATAATACTGACAATATCACATTTCCTTCACCAGTGTTGACAAGCTCGAGAACATATTCTCTTGAACAACAAAAGTTTCATTCTTAGACACATCTAAAGTTGCCAGTGTTTCCAATAGCCACCAAGCCTATCTGCCAGCTTGGTCGTTATACGCCATTAAGACTTCTTATTCCGTAAACAGTTGTTTTAAATAGTTTCCAAGAAAGTTTTGTCACTTAGTGGCCTTAGCTGTGGTATTATCTGAAACTCGTTTTTATCTAAGAACTATTTCATTATCTCAATATTTTCAAAGTTAGATTAGATCTGATTATAAGAGATTTAATTCACAGTTTTCAAGTTCAGTTATTATATAATGTCTTCCAGATTATATGAAGATCATAAGGAATATTAAATTACTTTAGTTTAAACCTTACAATATATCCTTTATGCATTTAATTATAGTTTTCATAAATACTTAATACGTTTTTTCAGTACTGTAGTATTTCTTACACTTTATGTCCGAATTTTTCGCTTATACCTTCTCCTTTGTTGAGCAGCATAATAAAAGTGTTTTAAAAAACTGGTGGTGAACGAAAGGCCTCAACTCAACAACAACGGTATCCATGGCATAATGATCAATACGCAGTTAATGCTACTAATGCACTATTTTCACTGGAAACCAGTACTGGGACAGTAAAAGTGGCATTACTAAAAATGGCGATGGTTTTATTGTCATAATAGTTTTATATGTTCTACAGTAATTGCTGTACGCTGAATACGAAAATGATATCCATTTTTCTCCATCACATACATATTTTTCACAAAACGTCATAACGCAATACTTAAAAGAAAGACCACAACACGTAGTTTTGAGACTAAAACGACACACCAAAAAATAAGGATGAATGAGGATGTACATTCGTTTGACATCAATGTTCTTCCTTTTTCTTCAGTTTGTTTATATTTTTGTTAACAAACATAACAATAAAAATGGTCATTGTGGTAAACAAAATAATAATTTGATCTAATTAATTTTTTTTCTCGATTTGTAAAAAAATCCTTAGAAAAAATGAATATTATATTCGAAAAGTGCGTAGCGGAATTATGGAAAATCCATTATTAAAATAAAAATAACTTTTATGAAGTTTAAATTCGGAGCTATGTGTTATTAGACGTCTTAATGGAACAGAAAATATCATGTTTCACTTGCTTGGACGTACTACATACGATTTGTTTTAGCAAATATAGTCTGTTACAGTAAAGAATGTGTAACTCTGTAACTCATTAAATCCGAAGGATTAGGTTAAAAAACAAAAGGGCAGAAACGACACGACCCCTCTAGAAACAACATTTTGATATTGTGTCTACAAAAACTTGTCAGACATTAGTACGAAATATCACTGAAATTTCTTCTGTGGACAAATGATAGCATATGAACTTGTGAACGCAATAATTTAGAATTATCACAGAATTCAGAGGCATCCTTTAGGCTTAGAGGACAGATTAATGACAGTCTGAAAGCGCCATTATTAAGGAAAGAAGTATTATTTGACAATTTATTTTTTTTAGGTTTTCAATCCCAAAGCTTGTATTTGATACCTTATGTGTCCAGGTTTACTAAGTTTCGTCACTTTATGACAAACTGTTGATGAGCCTAACGCTACATATAAACTCAGCGTTTCGTAAAAAACGTATAACTGTTCACTCATGGCGCAAATCGATAAGTAATGTCGTCAATTGGCGCAAACAGTGAATACGATCAGCTTTATTAGTTATGACATAAAAGTCAGACAATATGTTCACGATCTGGACCGCATGAAGAATTATAATTGTGTGAAAACACAAGTATGTGGGGAGAAAAGTTGGTAAATGGGCAGATTTTGATGATAAAAATTAATACAGATCAATAAAAAAATTAAATTTCTAAAAGAAAGTTCATAATTAATTTTATAAACTATTGAGTGTTTTCTCTGAACCCCCCCCCCCCAATTAAAGTTTTGGTTGAGTTTTTTCAGTATTAAGGAGTTAAAAATACAGATGTAAATACAACTAAATACTTGCCATCAAAAAAGTCATTTACAGCTAGCCTCACCCCCTTGTCAAAGGCGCGGGCATCAGCGGCTGTTTGGAAGGTGAGGCCGAACTTCTTGTTTCCTGTCCGCCAGTGATAAAATGTTGGCATTACCCTATTGTACTGAAAGTCCTTCTTTAGTGTACAGCTGAGGACGACCTGTTCAAAAGGAAAAAACAAATCCAATAAAGTTGTCTTTCGAAACGTGTAAAATACTTAACGCCTTACAATGCATATAAAAAAATAACCGGAAATTTATCGAAAACACTAATATTTTACTACGAAGCGTGGATTCGTTACATTCGTTCCAGGAATTTTAAAATACGACACATAATGCAATAACACATACCAAACTATATGCAATAAATTCAGGTGACTAACCAGCTAAAGTAGTCATTAAAATTGAAAACACATTCAATCCTAATAAGTATGAAAGATACTGAGTTGCTAATTTCTAAACTAAGAGCCAATGGTATGACATATCTGGACTTGGCAATACGACCGCCATTTTGGTTTTGATGCTGTTTTCATCCAAAACTACACTGACGTGTGCTGATTGAATTACATTTCCATTTTCAATATAATACTTTCAACAATTTCGAGTTGTTCTCCAGTTTATGGAACATTAAACTTCTGTAGTGAAGGGCTTCCTGATGCTATAAAACAATAAAACATTTTTTAAACATATAAATATTTTTTATGTTGAAAGATGCACTTTTTTATTATTAAACTACACTTAATTAATATAGCTCACATCATAATAATAATTATTCTTCATGAAAACTGTTGACACAAATAGCATCCAGCTATTGTATTGTGCGAGACGTCTCGTTAGCACTAGATATGGCAAACGTGGCGTGGTCGACATACTTTTCATTGCTTTCACTAATAAGTTTTTAGAACTGACTACCCAGTGATATCTGCCAATTTCTAATAATTTATGTCAAATGTTTCTTGTTTTACTACATAAATACACAATAAAACCAACCGACTATAATGTTTTCGCCTTATAATAATTAAAATTAGAATTTAATAAGAAAGATACAATGAAATAAAAATGGATTCCCCTCCGGTAGTCGAATAATCATTTGAAGACATCCAGTTGACACCACAGTCAACAGTGTCAGAAAGATAAAGTACTAACCCTAAAATTACCAATGGAGCCACATCAGTTTTTGCACATATTTCTAAAAAATATTTTTTAGTAAAATTGCTTGTGGATACATTACTTTTTTTGGTTACAGGGCCCCTAATAATATAGTCACACAAAAAAAATGTAGCAAAAAATACCATCAATATTACAATTAATACCACTATGTGAATTTATTTTATTTTATATGTATCTGGCATATAAAACGAGTGTTTGTTTATAGTTCAGCACAATGCTACACAATGGGCTATCTGTGCTCTGCCCATCACGGGTATCGAAATCCGGTTTCTAGCGTTGCAAGTCCGCAGACATACCGCCGTACCACTGGGTGGGGCATAAAACGAATGATTTCACACACTTTGTTTTTTGGTCAGTTCTTTACTTTGAGTATTATAATAAGCAAAATCATCTTACTCAATATTATGCAAATATACGAACCCCATTGACAGTGTACAGTATAAAAATATGTCGGTAATCTGATGTTAGAATTAATATTGTGTCCAATACAATTAGGCACATAAACGAAGGGGCAAATCTGTAAGAACTAAAGATCTGAATGTTATAAGAAGTGCAAAGTTCTAAGCGGATAAAAAAAATGATCCTGCAAATCAAATATAACAAGACTTATTAATCAACTTATTGATAATAAAAACTTGATGATATAAACAGTATTTAATTAGAGATAAAAACAAACGGATTACAACTAACACACTGTTTCAAAAATATACTGAGATGTGTTGGAGTTCAACTAATAATAAAACTGCAATAAAAAACACGAAACTCGTTGTTCAAAGAGACATTTAATACAAATAATTTTTATTACCAAAAAAAGTCTAACGATTAATGTGCCAGAATGTGGAATGCAAGGTCTACGGTTCGCGCCACGATATACTGCTGAATACGCTCCGCACTTTAAGCTGTTATATAGTATGACAGTAAATTCCGCTATTAGGTAAGGAGCAGCCGAATAAACAGAGAGAGTTCCTGACTAATTACCCTCCATCTTGCCATCAGTTCTAAATTAGAGACAATTATGCCTGAACCACAGTGGTTTCTGACCTGGTCGCACAAGGTTTAAAATAATAAATATCAAATATACAAGTAATTTTCCAACTTCAGTCTGCTACCGTCAATCTTTACCTGAGTTAAAAAAGTAAAAACAACGAGCACGTGGGCGAAAGAAACGTGAGCGCTGACGTCAATAACAGAGTAGTGACGTTCAGAAAAGATTATGTACTTGTTTAATTCATGAACGGAGATATGATTTCCAGATACTATTCATAGATGGGCATCCTTAAGCAACATGAATATTTACACAGAAATGCTGGATATAAATAGTTACAAAGGCCTTTTTTTCAGTAAATTTGTTTTGGATAGTTCTGACAAAAACAACTAGCCAGAACTTGAAACATTTTATGTAGTATAGATATATTTTAATATAAACTACACGAACATAGCAAGAGTTACAGCTGATAAATTCTATTTTATGTGAGAATCACTTAGGAATTTGGCTGAACTTTAAAAAAAATCATACATTGTTGTTTGAGACTCATTATGTAGGTATTCGTATTTAATAAACGACATACACTGAGTGGTCACAAGTAAACAGACACCTAATGTTTCGTCATTTAGCTGATTTATGCTAACTAATTTGTGTTCACAGAGCACTATATAAATGAAAATGGTCCGTACACTAATTATCTTGTGCTACAACATGCCTAGAACTCAAGGTTCTCTTCAATTGTCAGGATTTTGTTAGAGGAAGGATAGTTGGTCAAGCAGATGGTGAAATAAGTCAGCGGCAAATGTCGCAGAATTTGGGAATCCCGCTTTCGACAGTCAACAGAATCATCGTGCAGTTCAGGAAACACGGCAAAGAAACAACTGAGCAGCGTCCGGGTCGTCCTGGTCCATCGAGAGGACAAAAGGGCTGTCAAGAGGATCATCGAAATGGATCCCAGATTAACGAGTGCAGAAGTGGCCAAAGTTGGTGGGATGAGTCCGAAATGTGGGGGGGGGATTCTCCACAGATTGGGTTATCGTTGCA